AATGCCTGGGCTCTTCCCTGGCCACCTTGAGAAGCCAAGGGAATGGGGGAGAGGATCTCCAGGGACATGAGATAGCTGTCATGACCCACAGCATAAGTAGCCCCGGCACCAGGGTGGAAAGCAGAAGCCAGGCTTGCCACCATGGCTGGGGGCAGCAGGTGACCTGGTGCGGGTCCCTCTGGGTACACTGGCACCCGTTCCCACAGTGGCCAGGGCGCTTACCTTGGCCCTCGCCTGCCTCCTCCTCCTCCACCCCGGGCAATGTGGGTACCAGGTCGCGTTTCTCCCTCAGGTGACCACCCGCTGTGGACCCTGCCATGGAGAGAGGTGTTAAAACCTGCAGAGGGGACGTGGTTGGCAGGCACTGCCAGGCATGGAGCCAGGCAGTGAATGCCAACCCCAGTGCCCCATTGTCCCCAACCTGCCTGCCTCCTGGGGCTCAAGGTTCAGCACTGGGGTCCCTGCTGGGTCTCCAGGTGCTTGTCGCGGCTCCGTGGCTTCAAGGGGGGTGCTGAGGCCCAACTCTGCCTGCAGCTGGGTGAGGAAGGCTCTGCCCTGGCCCACCAGCTCCTCCACCGCCTCCTCGCCCTGCTGAAGGAGACAGAGGGACAGAGCGGGCCGTGGAGCACCTGCGGGGTGCCTGTGGGCACTGCCTGAGGCACATGGCAGCAGAGCACAAGGCATGGCAGGACTGGCGTCTGATGGATTTCTGGGGACATGTAGGTGCCTCGTGTCCACTTTGGGTCTGATCCAAAGCTGTGGGGTCAGACACACATCTGTGGGGTCAGACCCATGACTGTGGGGTTGGACCCAAAGCTGGCTCTGCAGTAGCTGGACAGGGAGCCCTGGTTTCAGTTGGGGAGGACAAGATGCTCCCCCTGTGGTGGCAGAGATAGGGGTGCCACCCCCAAGGCTGGCCAAGGTATATTGGGGCCAAAGGACGTTAGGAGGACATGGGAGTACTGCAGGGGTTTGGTCCCCGGTGGCATGGTCACCAGAAGGGCAGGGAGTCCCCCCAGCCAATCCCTCTCCAAATACCTGCAGGAAGAGCCACGTCTCCCCGGGGAGCTGCTCCCTGGCCAAGTTGGGGTGGCTCCCCCCCGCCATGGCCCTCAGCACCTCCACCCAGTCCTGCAGACGGGGTCCCACAGTGCTGAAGAGCCCAGCGAAGGTGGGCGGCCGCCCAGGCCCCCGCCTGCAAGCACAGAGGGGCAGCTGAGGCAAGTGCCCAGCATCCCCAAGCGCCACCCGTCTCCTGGGCAGTGCCACCTGTGTCAGGACCCCCGGCAGCCCTGGGCACACCATGGGGCTGTGCCCACCTCCCTCCAGATGTGCCCAAGTGAGGGAAACCCCAACACTTTGGGCAGGCCCATGGTGATGCCCACGGGCATCTCGCCCACCTTCCCAAACCCTTAAGCCCCCTGTGGTCAGCCGTGCTCTTGCCTCCCCCCTTACCTGGTGGGGAGGCTCTGGGGTCCTGGGGTGCCCTCTGCCATGGGGCTGGGCTGGCCCCCTGCCACATCTGGGCCTGTGGGGACAATGGGGAGGGGGGGGAGCAA